AAAAAAAAAAAGAAAACAAATTCTCATGTTTAAAATACGATTCTTTTCAATTTCGAAATCAAAAATACAGCTTGTCTCTTAAAAAAATAATAAATCTTATGTTTAAAATACGATTCTTTTCAATTTCGAGATCAAGAATACACCTCGTCCCTTAAAAAAAAAAAAAAACAAATTCTTATGTTTAAAATACGATTCTTTTCAATTTCGAAATCGAGAATACATCTTGTCTCTTAAAAAAAAAAAACAATAAATCTTTGTTTAAAATAAAAATTCGCGTGTTTTTTTAATTTTGAGATCAAGAATGTATCCCTAAAAAAAACAACAACAAATTCTCATATCAAAATACGATTCGCGCGTCTTTTCAATTTCGAGATCAAGAATACATCTCGTCTCTTAAAAAAAAAAACAATAAATCCTCGTTTAAAATACGATTCACGTTTTTTTTTAATTTCGAAATCAAAGATACACCTCATCCCTTAAAAAAACAATAAATCCCCTATTTAAAATACGATTCGCCCGTTTTTTCAATTTCGAGATCAAGAATACCACCCTTAAAAAAAAAAAAAAACAAATTCTCATGTAAGACAAGAACATTAGGATTCATCGATGAATCGGGAATCGCGAAACCGTTTCGATGCCAATCAACGCGCATCCGAAACAAGGTTAAAACAATTTCCGAGACAGCGAGCCGCGCTTCGGTTCGATTTTATAATTAAATAAACTGTACGCAACAATACCCGTGGAATAAACCCCAGTGCTTCCTCCCCCTCTCTCCCTCTCTCCCTCTCTTTCTACGCGTCCGTTATATGCTTCTTTCTCCCCCTCTGAATAACTGCGTTATAACACAGTTTTCCGTCATAACTCGATTGCATCGGCTTGCGCGGACAAATGTCGTGTGCAATAATTCCGAATCAATTACGCTTCTGGCTGAACGATTCCCAGCCGCGCCCAGTGTCGAGGGGAGGGAGGGGGGTAGGTTTGCACTGAATGACATTCCACCCGCGCTCCGCGTGGCAATAGTATCGAAGACAGAGAGTCTGGCGTGTATTTTTCTTCTTTTTTTTCTCCTCCCCCTCTCCCTCTCCCCCCTTTTATTCATCGACAAATATTGTCGTTTCATTTTCATCCGTCGAAACGAAAAAATAAAGAGGGGAAATTTATAAAATAATAAAAAGATGGAATCTCGAAGAGAAAAAAGCGAGAGCGAAAGTCTCGCGTCCCTTCTCTCTCCTCTCTTCAGGTTCAGGTTCAGGGGCAGGATTTTCAGGGGTAGGTAGGTTTCGACGAGTGTGATCGTGGGATGTAATTTGGAAAGAGGGAATAAATTGGAAATTCAGGGATGTTTTTTGATTCGAACTTGGTTTCGAGGGAGAGAATCTCATCGTGTGCCGTTTATAACGCGACGGTATTCTATTAGCCTCGCCATTAAACGCTTGCTAATCCACGTTTGCATGCATCCTGCGGTTTCGCGGTTTTCTCACAAACACCTAATTTGCAATAATGAAGATGGGCGGAGCGTGTCGAATCGTGGAAACAGCGGAGGAAGGAAAATGTATACGCAATTTGGAAATTTTGGAAGTATCTTTCTAACAAATTTTAATCAATCGAATAAACTCTGCGTTGTAATATCTTAAAAACGTAAGTAATCGGAAAAACTCAAATTTTAACTTTATTTATAATATAATTTTTAAAATAACATTTAAAATATAACTATAATTTAAACTTTTCTTTTCAAAATTTTAATTAAGATTTCGAGCAAACGTTTAATGAACTTAAATTTCTATTCTTAATTTTTTACTTTACGCGAGCTAAAATTGCATTAATAATCGATGAAATTATTTTCATCGGATAAATCTCGATATCTTTACTAGAAATTCAGACGAGTTTACCGCGAGCTCTTTGCGAATCACGTTTCGATACAGCGTTGATTCAAAGCTACCCTTTGATCAAATATCATAAAAATTCTATTATTATTATCGAGCAATACGAATGCGTTAAACGGACGTATATATGTATAACAAATACGTATTAACAAATTTTTGCGACATTTGATCAAAGGGACGACGATAGCCATCAACGAGGGGAATTTACAACGTGAATGAGAAGCGAGGGGATTACGACACACAACCACCAACTTTTCGAGCCGTCCATCAATCGCGACAAAATAATCCTTTGTCGACGGCGAATTTAGAAATCGAAGCATGCACGTTTCAACGGGGGATTAAACCCGAAAGTAATGAGAGCTTACTATCAAATCGATTTTGCATAAATATGAAAAGTAAAAGAGAGGAAACGGCTGCCTTCGTGTTATTCCGCATTTTACCATTCCCGTTTCCATCGCGAGCATTATATTCTCTGCAATAATAATAATATAAAATGTTTAAAAATTACCATTCTTTTTTCGATCTTTGTTTCCAAATTTTGAATAGAAATTTTTATTAAAGAAAAATAAAAATATATATAAATCATATATAATTTAAAATGTTTAAAAATCACCATTCTTTTTTCCGATCTTCGTACAACGTTCCAATTCCAAATTTTGAATAGTATTTTATTAATTTATTAAGGAAAAAAATATATGTTTAAAAATCACCATTCTTTTTTCGATCTTCGTACAACGTTCCAATTCCAAATTTTGAATAGTATTTTATTAATTTATTAAAGAAAAAAATGTATGTTTAAAAATCACCATTCTTTTTTCGATCTTCGTACAACGTTCCAATTCCAAATTTTGAATAGTATTTTATTAATTTATTAAAGAAAAAAATGTATGTTTAAAAATCACCATTCTTTTTTCGATCTTCGTACAACGTTCCAATTCCAAATTTTGAATAGTATTTTATTAATTTATTAAAGAAAAAAATGTATGTTTAAAAATCACCATTCTTTTTTCGATCTTCGTACAACGTTCCAATTCCAAATTTTGAATAGTATTTTAGGTGATTTATTAAAAAAATAAAAAATATATAAATTAATATATAAACTAATAAATTATATATAATTTAATAACGTGCATTTCTTCTAATATATATGCTTCTTTAAATTTTAGAAATTTCTAACGCGTTAATTTCATCTTGTGAAATTTTCATCTTTACATTATCCGAACATTGATTTTTCCCAAATTTCCTTCTCTTTTTTCCTCTTAACGCGAAAAATCTCGGATAAAGCTCGCATCACAGTATGCGCGCAGAAACTTTGGCAGTATCTCTGTATATAATTGTGATATTTTACCACGTTGTGTCGAACGAAACGCAAATATTTATTGCACGGGTGCGTATGTCTGAAATTTTGGGAGGGCCCGCCGCAAAGACAA